CTTTGACAGCGTGCTGGGTTGGGGAGGGCACAGCGTTTGACCCTCTCACACATTTGTTTGTGGGACCGAAAATTGGTGCAGCCTCTTGGGAGGGCAATTTGGCAAGATTGATTGCAATTTAAAATGCACGTATCCTTTGACCTAGTAATTCAACTTCTAGGATACACTTGTATGTGTAAATAAAGATGTGTGTACAAGAACAGTCCCTTGATGTAGGAACAGAAAACTGAAAACAGTCTAAAGGCATCACTTGGGGACTAGTTAAGTAAACTATTCTAAGTAACTATAGTGCATCATGTAATGGATGCCATGATGCCATTAAAAAACTGAGGCTGGCCTCCATGTACCTACTTTGGGTCAGTCTCCAAGAAACCATGTTAGCTGAAAAAGCACAGCACAGGTCAGAGTATAAAACAGCAGAAAAGGAGTATACACACATACATATGAATTCTTACAACACAGACTGTCTTTGAAAGGACACACAAAACCCCGAAACAATAGCTGCCGAAGGGGACAGACTGGAGAATTGAGGGGGGGCAGGAGTGGAAGGGAAATTACTTGTCATTGTATATTTTCTTGTGCTGTTTTTGTTTTAGCCATACATACATGCATTAATGCCATATGTGCATTTACATTTGTATGTGTGTATATCTATCTCCATTGTAAATTTTTAAAAAATGGTAACAACAAGGAGCCCAGATGGTTGAGTGTGTTTCCCATGCAGTGAGGTCTCATTTTACCCAGCGTCCTTGGAAAATGAATTTCCATGAAAGTAAAATCTCCAGATATTTTATAAGAATCAAAACTCTTTAAAAGCTTTTATTTTTTTCAAGGAAACCTATGGGATATGTATAATATTCTTCCATATTTTATCAAGTAAAGAATGTGAAATGTGCATGAGCATTTCCAGAAGCAAAGGGCTCTCTGACGGGCACTAAAGGCCCCTCTTGGCTGTAACAAGGCTTTTGCCCCTTCCTTTCCCACCAGGTGCCACCTCACGCATAGCATGTGAGCATTGTTTCTGGACCCTGCTGTGGGGAGCGGGGTCCAGGGCTTTAAGGCAGGCGTTGGGGACATCCTGACACCATGTGCTCACACGTCAGTGGCTCCAGGAGTCCCGGGATATCTGACCTGTAATCATGTGGGCAGCTTGTGCCCTCTCCCTGCTGTGCCACCTCAGGGCCTCTACGCGGCTGGCCACAGGGGTTGGGGAAGGGCAGCCTCCTGTGGCCTTAAGCAAGGCGTGAGCTTCCCAAACCTTGGTCTCCTTGGCTGTAAAGGCAGAATGATGCCACCAGGCTCACCACAATGGCTGGGGTGACTAGTGCCTGGGACCCAGCCAGACCCCCACACGGTCACAGCCGTTTTCGCCAGGCACACTGCCTGGCACATTTTGGCCAGACACGGAGGCTGCCTCAGTGATCAGGATGTGGCCCCTCTCTGTCCCCCTCCACTGTCAGTTTGCTGCCCAGCTGAGCAATTCCCAAGGCCACCCTGCTCTGTAAACCAGCCTGCGTGGGGGCAGCCTGCAGGAAGCAGGGGCCAATGCGGCCTTTCCTCAAGGATTTTATTAGAGAAACGTTTGCTGACATGGTGCAATTCAAGGCCTCCCCCAGAGCCTCCGCTTCCACAGGCTCTGGGCAGGACTCCGCTGAGCCTCGGCAGGACCTGCAGCCCTTTGAGGGGAGCCCAGCCCAGCTCCATGAGGCCAGGCAGCCAGAAGCAGCTTTGACATTTACCAACAGTGCCACCTCCGGGGAGTCGCTTCATCTCAGTTTTGAACCTCCATTTCCTCAACTGTAAAAGGTCATTTTCTGACCCTGTTTCTCAGATGAAATGAACTAACACACATGACGTGCCTGACTGGCCATCCTGCAGGCTCAGTGAATGTGCACGGATGATGTGGTTTGTGTTTCCCCATACCCAGGGCCCTGTGCTAAATGTCACACCACTGCCACCAGCTACAAGAGGAGCCCTGCTGCCGTCTGGTTCACGGCACCTGGGCTGTTTTGTGCAGGGCCTACCTCCCCAGCAGGCCTGTTTGCAGGGGCAGCTGGAGCCGGCTTGGCCAGGCCCTCCTCTCTCTAGGCTTGACTGAGTGAATGCTCTGCTCCTGCCTGGGAAGAGCAGACTGTCTGTCTGGGATCCTCGGCCGTTCTTGGCTGGCCTCCACCCGCCTCCAGGGGACACTTCAGCGGTGACCTGCTTTAGACTTGGTTTTCCAGGTAGTAGGGAAGCTCCCCAAGGCGCTTGGAGCCTGCTGCATCCAGGCTACAGAGCCTAGAAGGGGATTTCTTGGTACAAGATCCCCAGCACCACTGTGGCCCCCGAGTCAGGAAATCCATGTGCCCTCCGTCATGCTGTGCGTCTCAAATGGAAAGGAAGTGATGGGTGGGGGTGCTCTGTGCAGCTGCAAGACAAAATGGGCTTGAGCATACAAGGGGCCTCCTGCCCGGCCTTCTGGGGGCCCCCCATGTCAGGGATGTCAAGGTGCACACAAGTGTTCCCTGGCCCCAGTCTTGTTCCAGCATCTTGAGACATGTGCCTTTCTCAACAGCGAAAACTGGACATTTTCTTAGAGCAGCAATTTCATTTGAAGACTGAGGGGGAGGAAAACACTTTTACATTTAAACAAATGTGAATTGTGGCGAAGATGATACTGTGAGCTCACCAGGTCCACTTCATGTGTTCCTACGTGGGTGTATAGGAGAACCACTTCCCTGCATCCTGTGCGATTAGGCTGGGGGCCTGAGGCCACGTTCTGGCCAAGGACACATGGGCAGAAGTGAGGTCAGTGCTCCCTGCAGTCTTCCCACCTTCCCTCCCCCCTGCAGGCGACTGAGAAGCTGTCGTTGAGAGGAAAGAGCCAGCCTGGATCCTGCTTGGAGGAGAGCCAACCCGTGGCCCACATCAGATTTGTACAAGAGAGAAATAGACCTCCGATGCCCGAAACCACAAGGATCTGGGGGTCAGTTGTGTCTCAGCTTCGCCTAGCTTATTCCGGTGAAATGATGGACATAATATGGAGCAGAAAGCAATGTTTATGGGACTTTTAAAGCTAAAACATGAGGCTTCGTATTAGCGGCTGATTGTAACTGGCCTCTTTGGGCCACACCGGCAGATTTCTGACCCGCAGAAGTCTGGGCTGTATTTCACCCCAATACAACCAGTGATAGACCCAGTGACCGACCGGGGCCACAGTGCTGGCTCCAGAAAGAGCTCAAAGCAGATCTATTTAAGCAACCAGTGAGGGGCTGCTGAGGTGGTTTATTTCAGCGGATCCCATGGCAAAGGTCTGGCGAGTACAGTGAGAAGGAGCCCAGCACCAACCTTTGAGGGGCCCCCAAACCATTCTATGGTGAGTGAGAGAAGGCAGTCCAATCTGGGGGTGCCAAGCACCTCCCTTGGGCCCTGGGGTGAACCAGCCCAAGGTTGATGCACATGCCTTCCAGGTGCCCAAGTGGCTAGGGCAGTGGCAGGAGTCACGGCTGGGCTCAGGTGTCGTGACCAAACAAATGACATCTCCCAGGGCCCCAGCTGTGTCACAGGTGGGATATTGGAGCGATGATGACGGCATTTGGAGCTTTTTCCTCACCCGCAACCTCAACATATAAAACAGCTACGGCCTGACCTGCTCTGCAGACCTCAGTTTAAGCCCCCCTGAACTGGAGGCTCCCTGGGCTGGCACTGCCTTCTGCCCTTCAGCTTCCCTCTGAAGGAGGGAGAGGCATTAACTTTCATCTCTAACTTGCTGGGCATGTGGGGTAAGGTCCTTCCCGTCTCTGGGCTTCCCTTGCCTTATGTGTAAAGTTGACAGGTTGGAATGCAGGACTGTGAATAAAGCCTTGTAACAAAGCCCATCACACATCAGAGATAAAGCTGGAGCCCTCGGGTTAGAGATGGAGGTGGGGTCTGAGCCCTGGCAGCACCGAATGGCCAGGGTGCCTGGCGGAGGCAGCCGTGTGGGAAGGCCCCTGTGGCCCCCACGGCCCCTGCTCACTCCCCCGAGACATGCCTGGCACAGTTGCCGAGGCCGAGGCAGGTGTGACCTCGCAGGCTGCTGGACAGCCTCCCTGCATGGCTGCGCGGGCAAACCTGGCTTTCTTCAGTGGGGACAGGGGTGACAGCTGTAGCACACTGCAGAGCCTTGACCTGCAGACATGGGAGATGAGGACCAAGGGGTTGACACAGAGTATAAGCATGATCTGAATGCTTCAGAAAATGGAGAACCTGAGGGGTTCAAAGAACAAAGGTGTCACTGGGGTGACGGCTGCTGAGTGGCCCAGTCGCTGTGGCGGGGCTGTGCGGGATGAACTCCTCCCAGTGCCACTGGGTGCTGCTGATTTCCAGGGGCAGCGAGGCCGCTCTAACTCACAGCCCCCTGCTTTTCCCTTTCTGCTGGGTGGTTCAGAGTCTAGAAATACCCGAGCAGACATAGGCTTCTCCTGAGGGGTCAGGGGCGAGGTGGTGCCAGGAGGGCTCAGGCCACTGGGGCATGGATGGAGCCACCAGGCGTGTCCATAGCACGGGAATTGCCTCTTCTGTGCAGTTCCAGTGGCTCAGTTCTCAGGGGGGTGCCTTGAGGCTCTCCGTGGGGCGTAGCCTGCTGTGCACACCTGCTTGGCCTGGAGTCACCCATGGTGGCTGCCGCACATGAAGCTGGAAGCCACCACCCTCTCTCCCGGGGCAGGTGTCCCTGCTGCAGACACTCTGACAGTGGCCTAACTAGGGACACATCACTGCCTCTCTATGGGAGCCTGTCCCCAGCAGATCAAGGGTTGGGGAATTTTCCAAGCCTCTCTCCTCCACCTCCCCCAGGATCTCACAATTTCCTTAAGACAGTATTTAGCTTCCTAGGCAAACATTAACCATTACGGAAGAAAAAAAATGAAAGGAGCCCCTTTCTTACTAGCTGACCCCAAATCAAGCAGCATTGTCCACTCTGGTGGATTTGCCTTGGAAAATGATCACCCAGAAGAACTCGTCAATACTTTGCAGCCGTTTATACAATGAGCCTGTGTTTAGCAACACCCAGCTTCATTTTATTATTGCATTTTACGAAGTTACCAAGACAACTGAGGCCAAGTGACAGAACCTTGACTTTATGCGCCATGAAAATTTAATAAAGAATTTTAAAGGCTTTTAAGAGGCAGGAGCTGCAGCCTAGCAGCAGAGCCCTGCACAGAGGGAAGAGGGCTAGAGCACGAGGGACCTCCTGCGTCAGGAACGCCGAGGTGGACAGACATGCTTTCTGGCATCTGTCTTGTTCCAGCACTTGAGACTGGACCTTTCCATAACAGACATTTATTAAGACACTTCCTGGGTGCTGAGACTCATGACAGGCCCTTTACTTTCTTTATGACCCTGTACGGGCCAGGAAGAGGGCAGAGAGGTGATGGTCCATGGTCACGTAGTGAGAGAGCGACAGACAGGAGGAAGCAAGCCTGGATCTTTCTGCAGCCGCTCAGGGCCTCCTCTGGGATGCTCAGCCCTTCTTTTCCTGCTCTGATGGAGGAGGCTGTGAGGGCACAATACCAGCGCTTCCACCTCCAGCTCCCTGCCTGCCTTGCTCCTGCAGCCTGTGAGGGGCCTGGGGGGGCTGTGGTGAGGAGTAGGCAGTGGCCCCGTGGCCCCAGACTAGAGTCCTGGTCTGAATCCGAGCAAAGGCCTTCATGCGGGAGGAAATGTTTCCCATGAGCCTCTTGGTGAGTGCATTACCCCAGGGCTGCAAAGGGACCTTTTCTCCGTTTTCTAAATAAGACTCAGGAGCAAATCACCAGTAATGAGAAAAACATCAGTAATTTTGCCATATTATACCAACGCTCAATGGTGCTATGTGTGTGTGTGTGTGTGTGTGTGTAAGCATTAGGTGGTATGGCTTTTCTAGTTATAGAAAATTCAGGACTTTGGTCACTAGAGATGGAGGTAATTGAATATGTTGACTGTTCTGCAAAGCTCCTTTGTCCCTGGGAACAGAAAAAAATTTGGACTTATTTTGTGTGTGAGAAATTCATATGCCATATGGGAAAATTCCTCTTACCTTCATCACACCGAATAGGAGATTGGCAGAAGTATCAATCAGGGCGAGGTGGATTTTAAGGTGATACACGCTGTGGTGAGAGAAGACGACTGATCTCTCAGCTACTGGGAATATCATCTCCCTGACAGGTGATTTCATCACTTCCGAGCTTCAGGGGATGGTGCCTAATGCCAACCATTTCAAGCCCAATTCTCAATTTTAGGGCCAAGGAGTTTAGGACATTAATCAAGAAATGGAAAAAAAATTGAGCTATTTTGGTGTAATACTCTCCCAATCACAAGGCAAATTCCAGGTGTTGGAGGAAGAGCAGAGGCCATTTTTCAGCCTCTGAACGACTTCAGGCAGGTGAGGATGAGGGGAAGGGAGGGTGGGAGAGGGGCTGAGTCTTGCGGCTTTATTTGTCTTGATGGATTACAACATTCAAGGAACCTTTTTCCTTCATCCCTTTACACTTTGTAGGAGACCAGAAGCCAGTCTGAAGATAATGCGGTATTTGAGCAGCATTTTGGTTTACAAAACACTTCCATGTATATCCTGCTTCCCATTTCTCAATCTGTGTTCCCAGGGATCCAGTGAGAAGACTGTCAGTCACCCCCTTTGCATGGCTGAGGGACCCAGAGCCCGTAGGTGTTGGTAGCTTGCAGAGCTCTCCTGGGTGCTCTGCATGAGAAAAGTAGGTTGGACAAGCCCAGACTGGGCCCCCAGAGCTCCCAGGTACTAGCTGAGCAATCAGCCAGCCTCTCTGGGACGTGGGTTTCCACATCCGTGCACTGGGCCCTGCCCCCACGGGGTTGCTGGGAGCAGAGGTGCCATGTAGCATGGTTGCAGTGCCAAGAGAAGAACATAGATGCCTCACTGGGAGTCCTGACTCTGCCCATCTCTGGCCACAAGGCCCTGGGCAAGCTGCCTGGCCTCCTGGACGCCAGGTCCCCATCTGTAAAGAGAGTGGTGCAAACCCTCATCCTTCGCTGGGCTCCTGGGAGGGTCAGAGGGGAGGGCTGTTTGAAAAGCATTTTGTAAACTGAGACCTTGAACAGATGTTGTTAAATTCACATGGCAAAGGGACTTGGTTCTAGAAATGGAACACCATTCCCAATGTCTGGTCTCCTCCCCAGCTGGTCCTGCCACCCGAACTGGTGCATTCCCTTTGGGATTATCTCCTCTAACCTAAGCAACCCCACACAAATGCGGGCGGCCACAGAACTGCAGAGACAGGCGGGACTCCGCCTGAGGGGAGGAGCCGCAGTGAGGCCGCAGCCTGGAGGGCCAAGGTCTCCAAGGCTGGCCCGGATGGGCGCCTACAGGGGGCGCCGCCCAGACTCGAGCCGGGACAAAGGTACACGGAGAGACTGCCCAGGGCCAGAGGAGCCATTCCCTGCTTGGGATCATGGGACAGCAAACGAACCAGCTGGGATATGGAGGTGCTCAGAGACTCACCTTGGCAAAGTTTAGAAACCTATGCTTCTCAAGGGCATCCTGGGCCAATGGGACCTGCTAACTTGCGTATTCTTTCAAACAGCACCTGCTGGGCCCTGCTCTGTGCTTGCTGGTGGCATGAACCCAGCACCTGCCTGACCCTGAAGGAGCTCACAGTTTGGAGGGAGTGAAGGCCGAGAAGCAGCAGGGCAAGCATGCTGGTGAAGGAACTTCCAGGTTCTTACAGATACACGGAGGGAGTGGGGGGATGGCTCCGTCTGTCTGGGGGACTGCAGTGGGGACACCTGAGCTGGAGCCTGAAAGCTGAGCAAGTTCCCACAGATGGAGGGAGGAGGCCATCCAGGCAGACAGGACAGCAGGTGCCAGAGCGGGGACCAGCACAGTCTTTTCCTGATGGGTGACAACAGACTCGAGGAACCATGGAAACACAGCATCACGGGAGGGCCAGGCCGCCCCTCGAGGTGGGGGCACCAGGTGTGGACTTAGGGTGGAAGGAAGGAAGGGGCTGGGTCATGAGGGGCCATGAGTGTCGGGTGAAGGTGTTTGGGCTTTACCTGGGAGGAGATGAGGGCTGATGGACATAGGGGCCATGTGATCAGCTCTCTGGCTTTCCGGGCTCCTTCCAGCAACAGGGGTGCAGGATGGGCTGAGGGGTGGTGAGGCAGGAGGCTGATGAAGTGCAGGCGAGAGATGATGGGGTTGGAGCGGGGAACGGTGGACAGAGTCCCAGCCGAGAAACAAGAGGGCGCTTGCTTGGGGCATGGAGGGTCCTGTCTCCAGGAGGCCCTGCCTCTGCACGTGGGGAGGAGCCTGCTAGGAGTGGCACTTGCAAAGGACACTGGCCTTGAACCCCGTGCGCCTGGACAAGCACCTAGTTCAGGGCCCATCTGGCAATAAGAGCGGAGGAGCCCAGCACATTCACTGGGAGGCTGGAAGGAGGGAGCAGGCAAGAGACCAGGGTGGGAGGGGAAGGAAGCTGTCCAGGGCACCAAAAGGGGTGGCAGGCCCCGCGGAAAGGGTGGGGTGGAGCCAACGGCCCAGCAATGCTCCCCGTACAGACAGGCTGAGCCCGATCCTCCCACTGGTCAGCCAGCCTGCTCTGGAGCACCAGGGATGCAGGGACAGGGGTGGGGTGGCTGGACTGGACAGGATCAACAGGAGGGGGAGGAGGGAGAGGGGGAGGAGAGGCAGGGATGGACCCCGAGCACCCTTCCAGCAATGGCTGATCCCATAGGCAAAGCATGGGGAACCCCGCAACACACAGGGCATCTCTGTGCCCAGGCTCCTGGCTCTGGATCCATTCCTGTCTTCCAGGAAAGAGGAAATCCTGCTTTGCTATCACTTCAATTACATGTTGCAAAATGAGCAGCCAATTACCAAAGGGGGTAAACACAGTGGGACTTCTCATTAAGCACCAAGGAGGTGGTGGAAGTCTCCCCCATCTCTAACTCTGATAAGGGAGCATTGAGGAAAAGGGGGCTCCTGTAGAAAGGCAGCCTCGTTTCCCTGACACCATGGGGGGCAGGGTATGGGGTATGGTGGGGTGCAGGGCTGCCTCAGGGGCCTCCTTCTAGACAGGGACCCTGGAGTGCCAGCAGAGGGACGTGCCTCCAGATGGACTGCGAGCGGCTGGGAGAGTGTGCCCCTCACCCCGAGAGCTTACGTTTTCATACCACCCCAAACAAGGGGTCTGGAATTCAACCTACAGATATTTTTTTTCCTAAAAAACTTTAACGTGCTTGGTTGTCTTGGACCTGAAAATTACTTCATTCTGGCAAGTGAATGCTTTCTGAAAGCAAGGTTAGGGCTTTATTTAAAAGACTCCGTTGCTCCGAGCTGCTAAGGAGCTTGCTAAGATACTCGCTTGTCTTTCCTGCGAGATCCCTTTGCTTGGTAACAGCAAGGACTAGACAGTGGGCATGGGGTCTTCAAGTCCTTCCCACAGCAGACCGCTTAGGAACACTGACCACCCTGGCCCAGGCCACCGGACTGTGCCGGAGTGAGCAGAGCCCTGGGGACCCCAGGCTGCCCTGGGGCAGGGAGGCCCTACCAGGAGCCGGAGTCACACTCACTCAGGGGCCAGAAGAGATGGGGCTCTGGATCAGCTGACAGCCCGGGACCACGTGCCCTCCCGGGCTTCTCTTCCCGCACCTGAAACTGGGGACAGTGTTACCAAACAGCCCGAGGAGACTGGGGAATCAAGCTGATGACACCTCTAAGGTGTCCCTGGTGTAGGAGGCACTCAATGCACATCAGTTTCCCCTGCCCCTCCCACCTTAGGCCACCTGTCCGGCCTTTTACTTGGGAAAATAAAGTCATTACAACATCTTCTGCCACCAAACAGCCCGGAGTGGGCTCTGCAGGGCTTGGTTTTCCAAAATGCCACCTTTGGTGGCTTCTGAGGCATCCCCTTTCAGAGGGGGGCTGCTTGGGGACACAGATGGGTGAGACAGGGAAGGGTCTTGGGAAGGGAGAGTGCGGGGTCCCCTTCTCCCCACGCCACGTCTCACACCTGCACTTCTGACATCATGCCTGCTCGCCCTGATCTTCACCTGGGTCTGACTCCCCTGCCCTGGGAAGCCCTCCTCCCACCCAGGGCACCCAGCCCATGCTGGGCCCATGGGGGCCCTCTGGCAGAGCCTGTTGTGAACCTGCTGGCCATGGGGTGAGCACCCCACCACGAGGGCTCCAAGCACAGACCACAAGACCAGAGGACTCCTGGTTTGGGGTCCAGGTCAAACAAAATCAAAGTGACCTTCGAGGCTCCTGCTAGCTCTGAGACTCTGGTAGTCTTACTTATTTCCTTCTTAGTTAATTATTTCTTAATTAGTAACAAACCAAACATTGTGGCACCAGGCAAGCTAATGAAATAAATGAGGCTCATCTGTTAACTACACCCATGCAGCACATGACTGGGATGGGGGAGTCAAGCATGCCCACTTGCTATTTCCACTTGACGTGCACAGAACAGGCGGTAGGGAATGTGCACAATGTGCTTGGCCCTAGACAGCGTTCTCAGCGGCCCTGCCAGATCAACTCGGCTTCAGTCTGTGCTTCGCGCTCTGCAGCTCGCAGGCCCAGGATTGCTGGTCTCCCCTGCCCCAAACGCAACAGTTTTGCCCCACTTGTTGCTTCCTGTGAGCCCAGAACAGAGATGCCATCTGTCAGGTTTTGGATGTCATATGTCCTCCGCTGACTTGCAAACAGGTGGACCACCAAGAGGTACTGGGAGGAAGATGGGCAAGAATCAGCCTTTTGAAGCTCAGGTCAGCAGAACATGGAGTCGATGAGCAGGAATCTCTGGCGGGAATTCTCCGCAGCCTGCCCCTCCTCCACAGGCAGGGAGCCCAGGGGGCTCTCCTCAGGCCCGAGGGGCTCGCTTTTCAGCCAGGAGAACAGAGTGGCTCTCAGGACAGGGTGTGTCTGGAATGGGGCAGCTTGTGGGCACTGTTTGCGCAGGGGGGAGGGTTGCCCTCTGCCAGCGGGGCAGAGGGCGTGGCCTCCTGGGGAGGGCCACTGTAAGGGGCCCGGCCCCCCGACATGCCACTCCGCCCACACATCAGACGCCTTTCATCCAGCACGGACAGGTGGTGTTCACACAGGTCGATCAGTGAGGCCACCTGCTCGTGCAGTGGCAGCATCTTGAACTTCCTCTGAGCCAGGTAAAAGCAAGCCTCTATGAAGGCCTGCAGGCACATCCCTATGGACGAAGAGAGCAGGGTTAGGGGTGTGGGTGCCAAAGCTGCCCGGCACGCTGCCCGGGAAGGCCTGACTCCAGCCAGTAGGCTTCTTCTCCCCCACCATTTCCATTCTGGAAACTCAACCGGGCTAACTCACAGAGGGCTTGCCGTGCACTGGGCACCAGCTGGGCCTTTACAGCTATTTGCAGATTCATTCCCTTAAACAGGCCTATGAAGTAGGTTTAATTAACCCTGTTTCAGGAAGGAAGCTGAGTCTCAGAGAAGCGGAGATATCTGGGCAAAGCTGTGTGCAAAGAAAGTGGTGGAGCTGGGTTTGAAACCTAGTCCGAAGCCTTATTCTTCATAAAATGTTCCAGCCTTTAACTTTTGTAGTAAAAGGCCAAGCTGTTAAAGACAAACCCAGCCTGATGGCAATGCTTGATGCCTTGATAAGTGTTGGTTACACCTGTGTGTGCATTTGCCAAAACTCATTAAATTACACCTTGAGATTTGGGCATTCTGCTGTACGTAAATTTTACCTCAATGAGTAAAATAAACTTGAAGTCTTTTCTCTACCCAAAATGGTACCCTGGAACACAGTAAGAGCCCCCGCTACGCACCTGGAATGCTCTTCCCTTTGCCTCATAAACTCCTGCTCATCTTGGGGTCTGAGCTTGAAATCACGTGCTTAGCGAAACCGTCCCTGACCCCCAGGTTATATCTGGCCCCTGGCACAGGCTTCCTGGCCTTTTCTTTGTAGCATGGAGAGCAGCTTGTTCGGTGTTTATTTGGGTGGTTCTTTGACAGTCTCCATCTTCCCTGCTGGGCTGTGAGCTCCTGCTCATCATTGTTTTCCCGGTGCTCAGTATAGACATGCTGAATATATGAGTGAATGAATGAATGAATGAATGAATGAGGTGGCATTAGGCACTTTACAGATATTGCCACTAATCCTCACAACACCTTTTTGAAGTCAGTGTGATTATGCCCCGCTTCACAGAGGGTGAGTAACTTCTCTGAGGTCACACAAGCCCAGACAGAGAATAGTGGTCTGGAAATTCACACTCTGACTCCCGCTTCTTTTCATTAAGTGGTGCTGCATGAAGGTTCTGAGTCTCCCAGATGAACCCTGTGATCCAAATTCACGGATTTCCTGGGCTCCTTAGGGAAGGTGACACTAGGCAGGACCAAATGCCGCACAGTATTTTAGAGGAGGCTGATCCACACCACACCTTTCAGTGGCCTCACTTCCCAGCTCAGACACATCATTCACCTGCTTCTGTCACTGCAGACAGAAACCTGGCCTGGACTTTGTAAACATTGGATTATATATGGACGCTGGGATCTGAGAGCTCTTTGTGTGGGAAAAATTGGGCAAAGAAGTTGGGTTTTTGTCTCTCTCCAAGTCCATCAAAGCTTTCTGCTCAGCTTCTCTTGACTCCAGATGCTCTGCAAGTTCCCTGCTCTGTGTGGCCCTGATAGGAAGAGTTGATAAAGAGAACAGCAACCCTGGAGTAAAACCCTCTTAATGTAAACAGAGGCCTGGTGCAGGGAAATGGGGGCCGCAGTCTAAAGCAAGAGACAGACATTTCCTAATCACTGACTCTGGGCTGGGGATCTCCACGTGTGTGTGCATATGTGTGCATCATGCATGTGGGTATCCTTGTGTCACAGTCTGTGGCAGAGTCAGACACATGCACACTGGAAGAGGTCAGGACCTAAAGCCAGAGAAGCTCAGCGCAGTCCCAGCCCCCAGCTTCCCCACTGTGTGATCTAAACAGCGCTACTCAAAGTGTGGTCAGCAGACAGGTGCCAAGTCCAGTAACTATGTTTCCCTGGCCCCTGACAAGATAAGAAGCCTGAGCCGGAATGTGAATCACCCTCCCCATCAATCACATTGTTTAGTTCATCTGGCAGGATTTTGTAGCAAGTCTTTCTCTATAAAGCAAGCAGCACATACTTATATTCTGGCTCAAGCCTCTCCTCCAGGACATTCGTGAACTGCAGCTTTGAGTAGCTCTGGTCTACACAACCCTTCCCGGCTTTAATGTGCATGCCCGTCACCACGATCTCATCAGAATGCAGATTCAGGGACGGGGCCTGAGACACTGCCTTCCTAACAAGCTCCTGGTGTTAGGTGCCTATGGAACACTCTGGTGCACACGCCGAGAAGCAAGGATTGAACATTTTTGTTCCACGAATACTAGTTTCCTTCCCTTAATTAAAGATAGACTGTGATTAGAGTTGTAATGTGCAGAAAAAAATACAAGGACGTTTTTGGGGAAAAAGTCATGGCTGAGTCATTTGAAAGAAGACATTCTAACATGAGACATGGGATTGAATGTGCTATATACTTGGTTTTCTTTTTTGCTTGTCTATGTTGCCTGATTTTCTAGAGTAAACATGTATGCAATTTTAAAACACGCAATGGAAAATTCTAGAACATGGTAAGAGGACCTGCAGTGTCAATAATTATGGATGTTTGCTACTATTTGAATTTAGAATTATGTACATGTATTACTTTGAAGGAAAATATAATGCAAGCTTTCTGCATATATACTTGGATTTTTTAAAAGCTTAAATATATCTATAAGGGAAAATGGAAGAAGAAATGAAGGGAAATGGACATTACTGACTCTTGCATGAGCCAGATATAACGTGCCAGGTGTTCTGATCCTCACTAAACTCCCATTGTGCAGATGAGAAAACTGAGGCCCAGAGAGCTGAAATAACTTGCCCCCAAGACTCACACTGCAGTTTAAACCCAGGCATCATGAACTGCTGATTCTGCTCCTTATTCCTGGAAACCCCATCTGAGCATCATAACAAGAACACTCTGAGGGTTAAGAAGATAATCACAGAGGACAGGCAGGCTTCTTTCTGATAGAAACATGTGGAATCTTCAACAAACAGGAAGTCAGGTGGGAGGGTCTAAGGGATTGAGGGGATCAAAGATGGCTTGTGGGGAAGAGGGTATTTGAGTTCAGCCTCAAAGGATAGGTGGGGCTTTATGAGCAGAGATGAGCTGGGAGTGGGCTTGGCTGAGCAAGGCTGGAAGTGGGGCATGGAGCCCCGTGATAACCGGGGTGCCTGAAGCAGGACAGGATGGGCAAAGGGCCTCTGGAGAGGGACAGAAGGTCAGAGGAAGTGAGCTGGGAGCCCCCCAAGGTGTTGGGGCAAATCGACCTGTGCCCCAAGTGGTGGTGCCCCACACCTACCTACTAACAGCCTGAGTACATTTTCCAGTCATGGGATTTCTTTTTCTTTTCTTTTTAAATAGTGTTAGAACACTTGTGGGGTTTATTTGCTTGTTTTGCTTTATTCTTCAACTGCAATCTTGTGAGGTGGGTGGCGGATCAGAGCCCTGCCCTCAGGCCTCCCTCACCTGAAGGGACTCACCTTAGGGACCCCTGTCTCTTCACACCAGCAAAGCCACTGTCACTCCTGATTCTGAAATCCTTGTCTAGCATCTTCATTTTACAGAAGTGGGGAGTAGTGAATAGGCCTCAAGTTTGCCAGCCAGTAGCTGACAGAAGCAGGACCAGACCCGGGTCTCCTGACCCAGTCGCATCCCTTACCCCAAAATAAAAAAGCAGACGGAACATTCCTCAGGCAGGGCTGTCTACGCGGACTGTGGTCCCGCACACTCTGCTCACCCTTACTGCGCATGTCTGTCAGAGTCTGAAGGCCAATGAGGACTGGGGGAGGGGGTCACCCCAGGCTGCGCGTCATGAGCACATGGGTCTCTGGCTCTCACAGTGGCCGTTGGAAGGGGCTGCATGTTTGAGGGTGACTAGAGATTGTCCTTGGTCCTCATCTCTTCAAGGTAGCCCAGGCCGTGGTGGCCAGACCCAGGCCAGTATTCACTGAGCTTCAGTCAGTTTTCCCTTTCTAAGGCCTTAAGGGGGGGCAGGCAGGAGGAGGAAGAGGAGGCTGGAGGAGGCCCCCAAGGAGGAGCAGCTCCACCTGCTGGCGTTTCCAGCCTTTCCAGCTCCTCCACAGAAAGGTAGTTTTCTCTGGGTCTTTCTGCCTCCTCCTTATTATTTATTATAAAATGCAGGAATGTAAATTAGTTCAACCATTGTGGAAAGCAGTATGGAGGTTCCTCAAAATGCTCAAAATAGACCTACCATTTGACCCAGGAATTCCACTCCTAGGAATTTACCCTAAGAATGCAGCAGCCCAGTTTGAAAAAGACGTATGCACCCCCATG